GGAGAATTAGGAAATATCTCAGTATTTGAAAAAAATTATTTTTAAATTCTCATTTACCACAAAGTATGGTGAAAATTATTTTATTTTGTTGTTAACATATACAAAACCAACAATATATACCCAACATGAAATGCATATCATGATGATCAATGGTAGTGACCAACAACTCAAAAATGAAGGATCTGAGACACACTGACTCACCAAACTTGTTAAGTGGCTCCAGTTGACTCAAATATAAACCACTGACAATGTACTGATATCTTATATTATTCAATAAGCTGTATTTCCTGAGCATTTTCCCAGAATGTTTTGCAGGTAGCTGAGACCTAATATACACTAAAATATAACCAGGAATTGAACCAGTCACTACTAAAATATTGCTATGACATCTTTAATAAATATGCTTCTTTTATGCAGAGGGTACAAGAACATGTATTCTTATTTCAGACCCAGATGCATAAGGATAATCAATGGGATGTAGGGACACTGTTTTTACTTCTAAGTTTCCTTTGGGTGTCATATATATATATTGCTAAGGAATTTCACTAACAGGAAGTGGAGGTCCCTTCTCCCATCTCTCACAAACTCCATTTCACTGAGAAACTTTAGGAGCAGTGAGGGACAGCTCAAGTGTCACACGACTTCTTTCACACATTATCTACTGAGGTTACTCTACCACTTCTTTACCCTATATTGCTGTCCAGCTTATTGCAAGCAATGTGAAATGTCCAAGAAAGCCGGCAGTATTGGCTTGCTACAGTTGTTTACTTGCAGCATTCCTTTAGGATGGTCCTACCCACCAAAAATGTACAGAAACCATGAGTTTCTCTGTGACATTCTAATGCTCAATCAAAATCCATCCTCTTTGTCACTATTTGGTTCAACAGTTCAGATCAATAAACACTCTGGGAGCACTTCCCCTGTGAGAGGCATTGTGCTAGGCCTTCAAAGAGCCAGAGTCCAGTGGGGGACAGAGATTTGTAAACACAGAATTCTAATGCTGGCAGTGATTTAAAGAAGTCAAATCATAGGGATTAAAAAAAATAGAGTAAACTATGTTTTGGGCAATTCTATACTTTAAGATTTTAAAACATAAAATTTATTCGATGTTTGTAAAGATCATTTAAATGCTAACAAAATAAATAAAGACAAACTAGAAAAAAACCTGACTAGCCTACTCTCTGAACAAATTATTCTCAAAATAAAGTTCTTTAAAGGCAGTAAACTTTTTTATACAGCCAAATATAGTAAGGGCAAAGAAATGTGAGAGAATCTCACTACAGTTAGTAACTTTAAATTTGTCTTTTGGTTATGGTAAGAAATTACCAGATGGTGGGCAATCCAGTGCCACTGTCCTACGACACTGTTTTAGGGGAGGGGATCTCCTTATTTATGTCACTGTTTTCTCCTTTTAAGGCTCTTTTCCCTAGATATTTTCCTTGATAAAATAATATTTTATCTCAACTCCTTCAAATAACCTATAAATAGCCTTTACATGAATGCCTATGTAATCTGTCAAATAATATTCTAGAGTCTTAGAAATATTAATAGATGAGCATTTTACTCTAAAAGGTCTCTTTACTCATTTGGTCTCACTACAGCTCTATGACCAAAGTTGTTGACTGAGTACTCCAAGATCATATGGAACACACATAAAGGAAACAGACTGCTTTCCTTCATATACCTCTAATTTTGTGGCTATAGAATCATCTTATATCAAAAAATTATATGTTCTAATATTAGTTTTCTGGGGGGAAAAAATGACACAGGCTTGGGGAAAACCTTTGAAAATTTGATTCCAATGGCCATTCCTGAGAATGAAATACAGCCCTCTATATTTATCATACCTAGGACATACAGAAGGTTATTAGATAATAAGGGATATTTCCTTCCTGTCTATGAAATAGATTGTGAATGTTTGGGAAGCTATAAGGCATACAGCTCAGTAGACTATTTAGGAGTTTGAATGCTAAGGTTGTAGCTGAGGGTAGTATGTATGAACATCACGATATGTGAGAGATATTATATTTTGTTTTTATCACATCACCTCAACAGACACTAAGGAAACAGAAATAAACCCTGGAATGGCTGAGAGTTTTAAAGCTAAAAGAAAAAGTAAAAGTTTTAAATTCACAATCAGCTATAGTACTTGTTTTTAAAGGAAGAGATGATTTGCTACATCTATCATAATACTCAAGCGTCAAACAACTAAAGCAGTTAGGAGTTAATCATATGGACCCCTGCAAAACACTTATTTTAGGTACTAATAAAATTTATAGGAATATTTGTATATGAAAATTTAGAAAAATCAAACTTTTAAATACAGTCAAGGAAAAGAGGTCTCTAACCTGTTTAGTTCCTGATTCTATCATATAGGACATTTTAGAAAGGATTCCTTTGAATGTTACAATAATATCTAGGACAATAAAGAATAATCCACATGAGTAAAGGATAAATGTCTGGGAAAACGATGGGAGGTTCTTACTTTCAGCTGCAGAAGCTGATGTGGAAGTTGTAGGAGGTAGTGTAGAATTGTGGACAAGTCAGAGACAAACTCATTATTATATCTAAAAATCAGAGCAAGTGGGCTTCCACTGCATCATAAGGGACTCAAGTTACATATCATGACTACAATCCTGATAGGAACAGCCATTAACAAAAAATTATTTCTCAAAATATCAATTAAAAGAAGAAAATTCTTCATTTTTCTGAGGTAGTTTAGATACAGTCTTTTCCAAAGAAAACAAATGAGCAGGCTTCCTTTCCCAAGGCAGCTTTAAATTCTTTAATTACATAGTATTGAATTCAAAATGGTTATTCTACTAGGTAGAAAGTCACTGAATAGTTTTTCGAATAGTCGTAATTTTAGAGATCATCTAGTTCAACTCCTTATTCTGTACGCTGAGAGGCAGTATAGTTAGTGCAGTGTAGAGGCTGGCAACTATGACCCACAGGCCCAATCCAACCATGTTTTGCAGGGCCTACAAGCGTAGCAATTTTTTGAAAAAACACTTTTAAATGACGAGAAAAAAACTGAAATAATATTTCATGACACATAAAAGTTATATGGAATTCAAATTTCAGTGACTATAAAAGAAGCTTTAATGAAACAGTCACATTCATTTATTTACATATTCTCTATACTACTTTTGCATTATTCTCTATACTGGTACAGTGGTCACCTCGAAACTACAAGGTCCAAAAATCCTAAGATACTTACTATCTGGTCAGAAAAAGTTTGCTGACCCCTGGTGCAATGGATGAAGCACATAAGATCTAAAGCTAGACTTCTTGGGTATGATCCCAGGAAAGATAGTGTGCCTCTGTTTCTGGATCTGTAAACTGAAGACAATAATGATACTGATCTGAGAGGATTGTTGTGAGAATTAAGTGAAAGTGCTTAGAACACTAGAACCTGATATAAAGCAAGAATCCAGAATGTTAGATATTTTTATTATTATACATGAGAAAACTGTGGCCCACCAAGATAAGGTGACTTCACAGGGTGACAAAATTTGCTAGAGGCAAACAGGGAGAACTTCCTGATTCTCCTTGCCTACGCTATATTGTCTTTTTTATTTTTTATATTGACTGACAAAGAAAAACATTCTTGTGATATTTTGGTTGCTGTTTTTAAACTACCTCAAGGCCACTCTAAATGAGAACTTCAGTTTCATCAGACAGGTCTCCTATCAATCCTGTTACCTGTAGTGGTCCACAGACAGCTTGTGAAACATTTGCTATTTTCAGGTCTCTACCTCAAACTTTCAGAATTTAAGATTTTCTTTATATTTCTAAAAAGGACAATAGAAGTCCCTTCCAAATCAAAACTGACAAGTCTGTTTTAAAATATATACATATATACATATATATATTTACTGCACAACTTTAGAAACAAATAACTAAGGCATACATATGAACCCCAGGATCTGAAGGCTAGCAGATTAGTCCATGAGCATTCAAGGACATTTGTTATTCCTGGTATAATACAGCCCATTTTCACTGGTTATTTTTCTCCCTTATCAATCCTTGCACAATACCAATACCATCCCAGGTTTTGCTGATTCTATGAAACCTCTTAAACCTAGCAGAATGTTTGTTTACTAGCCCTGGATCACCACCTTTTTTGAGACTTTCTTCATAAGAGGCCTTTCTTCATTAAATCTATTCCCAAATGGTCACTTCATTATGCCATGTTTCCTTGTCAGTTGGCATACAATTTTAAACAATTATACATTTGTCACTGCTGTCTAACTTTTCTCCAGTTTTTCTCTTTCCACGTAATACCTGCTATCTTGCAACAAAATTAGAATTTCTTAAGACCAGGCATACACTTTTTATTTTATCACACCACAGTACTTATACATCCCATGAATAGAATTTTAACTTTAGAGATGAATAAATAACACCTTTAAACTCACTAAGATAGTGAAATAATAATTTGTTAGTACATGGATTTAAAGATCAATCATCCAAATTAAGACAAATCAGAAACATAAAAGTACCTTAATTAAGATGAGGACTACAACCCAGAATAGAGAGATTAACTCTAGATCCATAATGCTTACTCCTTTCAGAAACATTAGCTATATGACATTGGAAAATGTTAGATCTGATGTGGATACTGTGGGCATTGGTATAACCTAATCTAAGTATTTTTTTTAAATCCACCTATAAAGAATTATGTTGCAAACCCACACAAGTATAATTTTTATCTGCATGTTTAATATACCTACAGCAACATTACTTAATATATAAGTATGTGAAGTATATTTTACTATAATAGTAGACAAGCAAACTGAATGTGTCTCAGGAAGGGGTCTTTTCCATTAATTTTATAAAGGCTTTCATTTCAAACTTTCATTAACATCTGACAAGCAAGCTGAAAAAGCTTTGCTTAGAGCTTGGGTTAGAGGCAAAATGCATTTTGGCAAAACTATTCCAAGATTACACTGACTGAGTGTGCGAGAATATACTAATTTGTTTTGTTTTGTTTGGAGTGTGGAGAAAAGAGAGAGAAAAGGAGAGAAGAGTCATGGACCCTACTTTATGGTTGCCATGGAGGCAAGGTCAGCCTTCCACACTTGGATCTACCAGCAGAGTTCAGACAGGTCAACGTGTGACCGGCTCAGGCCCTGGGGTTAAAAGTTCAAGCAGCGATGGAAAAACCAATATGTCCACACAGAGTATGCTGTACAATTTATTTCAATTTACATCAAGCCATGCATATAAAATTTAGATAAATTCCATTCAAATCTGATGTTGCCTGACACACAATGTATGCAAACAGATGTCTGTGGGGCTTTTTCTGTGCTTTAGAAAACAACATTAAATTTAAAAATATGTCTCTGGGATTTCTTTATTGAATTACAAAATGAACATAATTTTAACTTAAATGTTTTCATTCTTTCTTCCAATTTTTTTTGTGGGGATCTTAATAATTTCTCAGTTCTCAATCTACTCTATGTCATATTAAAAAGGATAATGTATATTTACAACTACAGCTTCAGTGTTATTGTAGTTATACATTCTATTTATATCCCTTACCACTTTCCACAAATATTTAGTGATTGATATTTCTGATTTATCTCTGGCTTCTACCCTCATCTTCTTTCTTTTCTACTCAGAACAGAGCTAGGAGGCTGCTGAGTTGTCTTCCAGCCACAAGGTGGCTCCCCCCACCCCTTCTCATGAACCAACAGGGTGTACACCTTTGCTTGAGTGCTGCCAGCCTAGGAGGATTCAGAGGCTAATTATGACCTATAAATACTGTATTTTCATTGTGAATTGAATGGATCACAACCCAGACCCTGGTACAATAAGATAAAATGCAAATTGGTCTTTAGAAATCGGAGAAAGAAAAAGACCTTCATGTCCTGCCTAATTTCTCTTCACTCGTCCTTCCAAGGGTACAACTGACTAACTTTAGAGCAAAATGAGGAAAATAACGAAACGCTCTACAGGAACCTACTTTTGTTGCCAAAGAACAGAGTCACAGATTAGACAAGGCCAAATGTTAAGGAAAGCATATAACATATTGTCATTCAAACTGGAGCCCACATTTGGAGTAAGAAAGGGATTTGTGTTTTATGGTCCTGACAATGTCCCCACAAGGAAGTTTTCATGAGGACTTTGCAGCACTTTCTTAGAAGTCCCACACCATGTCATAGATGAAGAACAGTGACCTCAAATGCCACAAAGTTTTAAAAGGACTAGAAATATTACACCTTTACTTCTTGTTGCTTAGGAAACAGGATATATTTTATAAATGTGATTTTTACAGAAAACATCATAATTTTCTACAGATGAAAGAGGCACAGAAAGACAAATCATTTGTCTTTACATGGAAGTTCTTTCCAAAGTCTGAGTCTTAATTCCTCACATTTTCCATTTTCTGTTCCAGGGAGAAGCTATCTGGGCAAGTTTCACTTTCCTCATCTGTAAAATGGAGATAAAAATAGGACCTATTTCTCATGGAATTTTTATCAGAATTAAATGAGTTAATATATGCAAAGCACTTACAAGAGTCCTTGGTACATAATAAGAGCCATATAAATGTTTGCTATTATTATTATCATTTACTTGAGCTCAGTACCTCCTTGTTTGCAAGTACTTTGTGACACAATCATTTGGGGGGGGGAGGAAGAACTTTCATGGATTTTGTAAAGACATGAAGAGTATAATTTTCTAGATACCTAAATGTTCTGATAGAGGTAACTGATAGTATCTGAGCTTTTTTCTCCTCAAGAACTTAAAGTATATAAGTATTTCTTCCCAATTCATAATATTACTTAAAAAAGAAAATGTTGAATTCCAAATTTCAAGCTTTTTTTAGATAATAGTTTTGTAAACGTATCCATTGTACTAAAACAACCATATGTGGTGGTTCTAATAACTTGGTTACAATATTATTGCAAATGTTTTCATTTTCATTTTTCACTATATTAAAAAAGTCTTCAGGATCTAATTCATGCCAGAATATAACTCTGTTAAGCCTCTTGTTAAACTTAGAACACATGAGTCACTCCGTTCTAAAGTAAATAAACATTTTTTAATTCCCTAGTAAGCACCGTCTTGACAATTCTCAAACAAATTTTCTAAGGGTATAAATGATATCTTTAACTTAAGGTGACCTACAATGATTCAACCATGAGCAAAAGTTTATGTGGACATAAAATCCTGCATTCACATAAATCCTTATTTGTATAAGAAAGGATTTGTATACATAGATGTAAGTACATAGCACATGTCAGTATGTATATATACATATATGTCCACATATACCTTCCACATATATCCCAGATAGATGGAAATACATGTTGAGAGACCAGGTGAAATAAGCAAATCATTTTCAATAGCCAAGGAAAGGAGTAAAACATTTTTTAATACCTCTCTACTGTCATGCCGCCCTCCTATTCTTTATTAGCTCTGTCAGCTACTACCTGGTGTCTAGGAGACAAATGCTAGTCCTAGTCCTGACCATTTAGTTCTGTTTGAAGTTATTTCAAACCTAACTCTTTAGAATTGCTTGAAAATGCTGTCCGGATATGTTGGCCTTGCACCCTTGAGTGGGGGTTGGAATAACGGGGGGGTGGAAAAGAATCCTTATGCAAATAACTTGGCATTGTTTTTGAGGGAGGCCTGCCTTGGTTTTCCCCAAACTTGCACAAATACAACTTCAAAAGACCCCTTTTGCATTCTAAGCAATATATATGAGTTACCAGAAGTGGTGTCTTTTGTTGCCAGAAGCAGTTTTTGCTGCACGCATCAACTTTCACTATATTCTTAGCCACTATTCTTTTAATGCCAGTTTCAGACATCAGTTAACAGAACCCCTTAAAGAACAGATGTACTGGAAAAATGCATCAATTTGTTATTTGTTACAGTTTGGGGGTGTCTGTCCTATGGGTTTTCTAGCCAAAGGCTTATATGTTTCCCAAGAGAAATTTACTTTCATGAGAGAAAAAAATTGAGGCAAATCACTACTGTTAGACCCTGAAGTCAGAGACACTGGTTTGTTGTCCTTCTATACATGTGAAGAAAAAGCCCACAGTTACAGAAACAGTCGTGTTTCAATCCATCTCTCATTCTTTCCCAGTGTGAAAAATTACAAATGAAACCAAATTTTTCTCTGTCAATAGAATGTGTATGATTACAGCTGTTCATATTTTCACCCTAATGAAGGGCTGCACATTTAATTGTAAGATTTATTAGGTACTGTACATCGCTGTGTACATGCAGAACAGTTAATCGACATCTAAAATGCTGGTTGTTTATTCTGACATTAATGATCATATTTCTTAATTTGAAACAAAAAGCATTTGGGGAAAATGTATTTCGTTCCCCTCCAAATACGAAATTAATAAATTCAATGTAAGAAATAAAAAGAGCTGGAGGGGAAAAAAATTGTTGATTTATAATTGTGAGGCTGGGCGAAAAAATAAAGATGCTTAAAAAAAAAAAGTCCATAATCTCCCATTCTGCTGGAAACAAGAGAGTTGATTGCCAGCTTTGTTTGATTTCACAGAGATCTCATACGAGGCTGGGTTCATAAACAGGTGAAATGATGGAGTTTATTGCAACGCACATCAACACTGAAACTAAATAACTGTGTTGCCATCTCAGTCCCGCTGAAAGACGGATGGTAAACTTGACCTGCCGCTGGTACTATCCGATTGCCATTTTTTATTCCCCCTTCGCCGCCCCCCCAGGCTGAGCCACGTTGAGTAAATGCATGTGCACGGTCAGGTCAGGCCCCGGGATCGGGTGAAACTCGGTTCACATTTGCATACAGGCGGAGCCTCACAATGAAAGCCCATCTGTTCCTGTCTCGGAGTACAAATCGAATGTCACCCAACTCACTGCAAACGACAGCAGCATGGCCATTAGATGGAGGAACACTCAGCTCAGGTTACGGATATGGAACTGCTGATTTGGGTTTAAATACCTGATAACTGAAGACTTTTCATTATATGTGAACAAAGAATGAACTTTGAACTGCTCAGGAGATACCCTCTCCCCACATTGGGCACCCTTAGTTCTATCTATTACTAATACTTAACTGCTATATTTCCCACTGTTTCTATTTTTGTATAAAAATTAGCCAGGCTGAATGTCACAATGTCCTAAATAATTGCTTTTTTTTGGAAGGGGGAAGGGTAAGAGGTGGAGCAGCAAGAGATGTTGTAAATAGAAAATGAACTCTGAACTCCATATGCCCTCAAAGGTCATTAATATCATGGCAGTGTTGTTCCTTGAACTTCTACATTTTACCAGGGTGGAAATTTTAGTTGCTAGAGTTTAACCAAAGTGTGAATTGCCCCAGTCCTTTATCCCTCCCTCCCAAATCCATTCAGTCAGGCGAGGCACCTGTCACTTCTTCACTCACAGGCCTGTTTATCCCAAAATAGTTTATCCCAAAATAGTTTATCAATCACAATCTGTGTTAGAGATTATTTTTTTGTTAAAATCTGGCAAGTATCTTAGAGTTTACAGACAGAAATCCCATATATTCTGACACAAAAAGATAGAGTTGTTTAAGAAGTAACCCCATGATAATAAGCCCACTGAAGCATTGAACATGATAAATGCAATGAAATTTATTAGCAAAAATATGGGTAGGCTTTCATCAAATGCCTTCTTGTACTGTTTTATGGAAAGAATCTACTTCAATGAAAATTTTTCTAAGGAGGACACAAACATCTGGGATTGGGTTACTTGTGTTTATAATTGAAATATTTCTATCTTCTGTTACATGAATCACATTTAATATTGAAATACTGTTTCAGTCATTAGCCCAGTTTGTTTGAGCCCCAGTGCATGTGTGGGTGCAAGTCCACCACACATATAGCTCCACTGTAGAGTAGAAAAAACAGACTGGCTAGTTTTTCTTTTACCAGTTATGCTTCTTGGTTTCTAGTCAGTAATAGTGTACTTTATGAATTTAAAACCTGATTGGATGGAAAAATATTTTAATAAATGTCTGCAAGGACTTTCTTGATTTGCTCTAAGCAATTACATACTTTTTTCTTGCATATATTTCTCTTTCTTAAAACACTCACTAAAACAATCTTATAGATTTTAATCTATCGAGGTTAAACATGGAATCCAGAATGTTTAAGGCCATTGGGTTTTAAAGGCCAAGTCTCTTTAGCCAGGGTTTCTTTACCACTATGTGAAGCTATGTTCTTATTGTTTGTCCTTTAAAAATAATACCAGAGGGAAGAAAAGATTTGAGGGCTTTTACTTTTTTCATCCCATGCAAGAGTTTACGGTCAACCTTAATAGAAGTTCCACATGCATTAAAAGGCAGAAAAGACCCTTTGTTTCAGAAGAATGACCAAGACAAAGGTGAATTTTGGTTCCACTTTGTCAAGTTTAAGGGGAAACTGAATTCAGGAAAAGAGAGAGAGAGCGCCCCAAACAACTTTCTTAGCTGTGTCCCCATTGCCTCTAATCTTAAAATATTTTATTGTTATCTTTTAAACAAGTCAAGAAT